AACAGGATCCAGTGGCTAGCATTGATCTCTAGTTCTAAATATTCTTATCTGCGTACAGGCAGTTTTGGACTCTTCTCTTTGCCATGAGATCAAGTCTAATAGATGAGATCCTAACAGTTAGGGACATGTTGACACGTTCAGGTTGCGTGAAGGTACCAGATGTGCTACAAGGGGAAACAAGGAAGCCAAACTGATTACTGTCCAGAAAGGGAAGGCATAGAATTTGGCAGCCAGTGGAAAGTGTGGCAGATAAGCTAGTCTGGCAAATGACCCAAATGTATTTTGGGTACAGAGAAGCTGCTTTGGTCTCTGAGCACCCAACCTGACTGTAAACAGCAAGCAGAAAAATTCCTGAGTGTGTGATTGTGTGTATATTTAGGAGCATGATCTCTACTGAAGGCTGCTGCTTCTCTGCCACCATCGTAAACTGCAAAAAGTGAATTTTTGAGACACCAAAAAACTTGTTGATTCTATCATACCGTTTTGCTCCGTTCTTTATGTTCCCACTGACCACACTCCAGTATCAGAGCCTGTTTACCCAGCATCGTGACATTTCAGTGAATAAACGTGTTTGTTCAGTGAATAAATGGCCTCTTTCCCATAATGTTGCACTAACCTTCAGTCAGAACCGCCCACAGCCTCGCCCCTTCTGATTCATTCACTTTGCCACAAGGTTACTAGCCCTGAAGGTTCAGTTCTCAAGCCGCCAGTGGTTTGTGTGGCACAGGAACCACAGGCCTCTGGAACTGGCTCAGGAGAGCCTGGCGGGAGGGGCCTTCCTGCCTACCTGTCATTCCCATGGGACACCAGGCTCACCCTCACCTACCTCCCTCTGTACATTTGCTCAAGCTGGTTTTGCCTGCACTGACCACCCGCTCCGTCTGAGATGGTCGCAGTCCTGCTGTCCGTTAGTACCTGGTTCAAGTGCAAACCCTTACACAATGACGGGTCGAATCTCTTTTCACCACTCCTTTCCTCTCTTCCTGCCCAAGCTAGGAGGAATCTTCCTCTTCCTGACTCTCATGGCATTTTATATCTCAGCTACATACAAATTTGGTTTTGTGTGTATGTCTTATCTTCCCTGTCAAATTCTAAACTTATTTTGGTGTATAGACTGTCATGTATGTCTGCGTCCTCACTGCACACGGCAGGTGCTGCACACATGTACTTGGTACATGTCGGTTGAATTAAGTCAGGTGCCCTCAGGTCTTCCCTAACATGGAGACTGTTTTATCACGTGCCTTTCCTAGGTGTCTGCTACCTGCCAGGTACTTTATATATGTTGTCTCATTTAGCAAGCAGAACCTCCCATTTTCTATTCTGTTCTGGAAGTGATAGTTGGTCAAACTATTATAGAATGTTATAAAGGCATAGATACTGGAATAGAAGGAAAAAGGACAATACCATATGTTAGGTCGCCTCTAAAAAATAGAAGCCAAGATAGGATTAGAAGTACAAGAGGTTTATTAGGGGAAATACCTACAAGGGAAAGTGGGGCAGGAGCTGGAGGAGGCTGGCACAGCCATGAGATGCTGTGGGGGAGGAAGGGATGATGGGGAGGAAAAGTCTTCCACTGCAGTGTGGTGCTAAGAAAGTTTCAGCAAAGCCACTGGGGAGCCAAAGCTGCCCATCAGAGGAGTCCCTGGTCTATCCCTCCCATGCCCAGGTGTTGGCTAGAGCAGCCCATGGGAAGGGTAGCCTCTGCACGAACATGCTGATGGGTTTTGAAGTACAGCCACCGTGTCCCCTGTGTCTGGAAAAGCCTATCTTCATGACTGCCACACCATAGAATCAACAAACTTTGTCA